CATTATCTCCCCACCCTGCACCTTATGACCCCCACCCCTGCCCACAAGAGATAACCACCTTTAACTGTAATTTTCCACTACCTACCCAAATCCTATACACCTGCCCCACCCCTTTCTCCCTTTGCTGACTCTTTTCGGATTCAGTCCAGTTGCACCCAAGTGAAATAAACAGCCTTACTGCTCACATAAAGCCTATTGGTGGACTCTCTTCACATGGACTCACATGACATTTGGTGCTGAAGACCCAGGACAGGACAGGAGGACTCCTTCAGGAGACCGGTACACTGTCCTCACCCTCTCTCCGTGAGATCCACCCATGACCTTGGGTCCTTGGCCCAGCCCAGTGAACATCTCACCAATTTTAAATTGGGTAAGTGGCCTCTTTTTATTCTCTTCTCCAGCCTCTCTTGCTATCCTTGCTATCCCTTCAGCCTTCAATATCTCCCTTCCTTAATTTTAGTTCCTTTCCCTTTCTGGTAGAGACAGAGGAGACACGTTTTATCCATGAACTCAAAACTCCAGCACTGGTCACGGACTTGGGAAGATGGTCTTCCCTTGGTGTCTAATCACTGCGGGGATGCTTGCCTGATTATTCACCCACATTCCAGTGGTGTCTGATCACTGCAGGGATGCCTGCCTTGATCCTTCACCTTGGTGGCAAGTACCACCTCTCCTGGGTGGCAAGCACCACCACCCACCCTGTGTCTCTACCCTCTCTTTTCTCTAAACTTACCTTTTTACTATGGGCAACCTTCCACCCTCCATTCCTTCTTCTTCTCCCTTAGTCTGTGTTCTAAAAAACTTAAAACCTCTTCAACTCTTGCCTGACCTAAAACCTAAGTATCTTTTCTTCTGCAACAGCACTTGGCATCAATACAAACTCAACAATGGTTCTAAATGGCCAGAAAATGCCACTTTCGATTTCTCCATCCTACAAGATCTAGAAAATTTTGTTGAAAAATGGCAAATGGTCTGAGGTGCCTGACGTCCAGGCATTCTTTTACATGTCAGTTCCTCCCTAGTCTCTGCTCAATGCAACTCATGCCAAATCTTTCTTCTTTCTCTCCTGTCTGTTCCTTCAGTCTCCACCCCAAGCTCTGAGTCTGTTAAATCCTCCTATTCTATGAACCCATGTGACCTCTCCCCTCCTCCCCAGACTGCTCCTCACCAGGCTGAGCCAGGTCCCAATTCTTCCTCAGCTTCCGCTCTCCCACCCTATAATCCTTCTATCACCTCCTCACATCTGGTCTGGCTTACAGTTTCGTTCCACGACTAGCCCTCCCCAACCTGCCCAACAATTTCCTCTTAGAGATGTGGCTGGAGCTGAAGGCATAGTCAAGGTTAATGTTCCTTTTCCTTTACATTTTAACAAAATTATCCACTACCCTGACTATTCCTGGACTACAGCCACATTTCATTGCTGCCCTTCTTCCCAACCTAAAGCCTCCTTCATGTCTTCCTCTTGTATCCTCCTACCTTAACCCACAAGTATGGGACACCTCTGCTCCCTCCCTGGAAACCAATCACATGCCCATTACTATCCCATTAAAATCTAATCACCCTTACCCCACTCAACTCCGGTATCCCATCCCACAACAGGCTTTAAGGGGACTAAAGCCTGTCATCACTTGCCTGCTACAGCATGAGCTTCTAAAGCCTATAAACTCTCCTTACAATTCCTCCATTTTACCTGTCCCCAAACTGGACAAGTCTTACAGGTTAGTTCAGTATCTGTGCCTTATCAACCAAATTGCTTTGCCTATCCAGCCTGTATTGCCCAACCCGTACATTCTTTTGTCCTCAATACCTTCCTCCACAACTCATTATTCCATTCTTGATCTTAAAAGATGCTTTTTTCATGATTCCCCTGCACCCCTTGTCCCAGCCTCTCTTTGCTTTTACCTGAACTGACCCTGGCACCCATCAGTCCCAGCAGCTTACCTGGGCTGTACTGCCACAAGGCTTCAGGGACAGCCCTCATTACTGCAGCCAAGCTCTTTCTCATGATTTACTTTCTTTCCACTCCTCTTCTTCTCACCTTATTCAATATATTGATGACCTTCTACTTTGTAGCCCCTCCTTTGAATCTTCTCAACAAGATGCCCTCCTGTTCTTTCAACATTTATTCTCCAAGGGATATCAGGTATGCCCCTCCAAAGCTCAAATTTCTTCTCCATCCATTACCTATCTCAGCATAATTCTTCATGAAAACACATGTGCTCTCCCTGCAGATCATGTCTGGCTGACCTCTCAAACCCCAACTGCTTCTACAAAGCAACAACTCCTTTCCTTCCTGGGCATGGTTGGATACTTTAGCCTTTGGATACCTGATTTTGCCATCCTAACAAAACCATTATATAAACTCACAAAGGGAAACCTAGCTGACCCCATAGATCCTAAATCCTTTCCCCACTCCTCTTTCTGTTCCTTGAAAACAGCTCTAGAGACTGCTCCCACACTAGCTCTCCCTGACTCATCCCAACCTTTTTCATTACACACAGCCAAAGTTTAGGACTGTGCAGTCAGAATTCTTACACAAGGACCAGGACTGTGCCCCATAGCCTTTTTGTTCAAACAACTTGACCTTACTGTTTTAGGCTGGCCCTTATGTCTGCATGTGGCAGCTGCCACCACTCTGATAAGACAGCTAAAGAAGCAGCCAGTATTCCTACTTCTGTCCCTCATGGCCAGTTTTCCTCCTACTCATCAGTCACTCCTACTTACTCTTCCACTGAAGTTTCCACCTATCAATCCCTCCCCACTCAAGGCAAATGGTTCTTGGACCAAGGAAAATATCTCCTTCCAGCCTCACAGGCCCATTCTATTCTGTCGTCATTTCATAACCGCTTCCATGTAGGTTATAAGCTGCTAGCCTGCCTCTTAGAACTTCTCATTTCCTTTCTACTGTGGAAATCTATCCTCAAAGAAATCACTTCTCAGTGTTCCAACTGCTATTCTACTACTCCTCAGGGATTGTTCAGGCCCCTTCCCTTCCCCACACATCAAGCTTGGGGATTTTCCCCTGCCCAGGACTGACAAATTGACTTTACTTACATGCCCCGAGTCAGGAAACTAAAATACCTCTTGGTCTGGGTAGACACTTTCACTGGATGGCTAGAGGCTTTTCCCACAGGGTCTGAGACAGCCACCATGGTAATTTCTTCCCTTCTGTCAGACATAATTCCTCGGTTTGGCCTTCTCCCCTCTATATGGTCTGATAACAGACCAGCCTTTATTAGTCAAATCACCCAAGTAGTTTCTCAGGCTCTTGATATTCAGTGGAAACTTCATACCCCTTACCATCCTCAATCTTCAGGAAAGGTAGAACAGACTAATGGTCTTTTAAAGACACACCTCACCAAGTTCAGCCTCTAACTTAAAAAGGACTGGACAGTAATTTTACCTCTTGCCCTTCTCAGAATTAGAGCCTGTCCTTGAGATGCTGTAAGGTACAGTCCATTTGAACTTTTATACGGATGCACTTTCTTGCTCGGCCCCAACCTCATCCCAGACACCAGCTCTCTAGGCAGCTATCTTCCAGTCCTCCAGCAGGCTAGACATGAAATTTGCCAGGCTGCTAATCTTCTCTTGCCTACTCCAGATTCCCAGCCATATGAAGACACCCTAGCTGTACGACCAGTTCTTGTTAAGAATCTGATGCCTCAAACTCTACAACCTCAATGGGCAGGACTTTACCTAGTCATCTATAGCACCCCAACTGCTGTCCATCTGCAGGACCTTCCCCATTGGGTTCACCATTCTAGAATAAAGCTGTGCCTATCAGACAGCCAGTCTAATCTTTCCTCTTCCTCCTGGAAGTAGCAAGTACTCACCCCTACTTCCCTTAAACTCACCCGCATTCCTAAAGGATAATAGTAATCCTTATAAGCCTAATACATCTTTTCATTTTTATTAAGGTCTCTTCTTCCTTACCCTACGCTTTACAACAGGGCTTTTTGCAGTCACCCCCACTACTTGGATTGTGCCCTCAAAACTTGTCATTCCTGCCATCTTCTGTCTAGTCATATTCCTATTCACCATTCTCAACTACTCATAAATGCTGTGCCCCTGTTTACACTGCCGATTTACACTTACCCTCCAAACCATCACAGCGGATATCTCCTAGTATTATCCCCAATCCACCAATCTTGACTCCCTCTTGGAGTGGATAGATAATCTTTGCTGACAGGGCACCTTCCAATACTTTCCCCCAATAAAGTCCTATTCTTTGCTTTTATACTCACTCTTATTCTCATTCCTGTTCTTGTGCCTCCCTCTACCTCTCCCCAGCTATCTCCACCACACTCTCAACCTCAATCACTCTCTCCTAGTCGTTTCTAATCCTTTTTTAACAAACAACTGCTGGTTTTGCATTTCTCTTTCCTCCAAAAACGCAAAGGGCTTGAATTTCTCCACTGCCTTAAAAAAAAAAAAAAAAATAGGCTGTATATTTTTAAATGAAGAGTGTTGTTTTTACCTAAATCAATCTGGCCTGGTATATGACAACACAAAAAAACTCAAGGATAGAGCCCAAAAACTCGCCAACCAAGCAAATAATTACACTGAACTCCCCTTGGACACTCTCTAATTGGATGTCCTGGGTCCTCTCAATTCTTAAGTCCTTTAAAACCTGTTTTTCTCCTTTTCTTATTCAGACCTTGTGTCTTCCGTTTAGTTTCTCAATTCACACAAAACCACATCCAGGCCATCACCAATCATTCTATATGACAAATTCTCCATCTAACAACCCCACAATATCACCCCTCACTCCAAAATCTTTCTTCAGTTTAATCTCTCCCACCCTAGGTTCCCACACGGCCCCTAACCCCGCCCAAAGCAGCCCTGAGAAACATCGCCTATTATCTCTCCATACCGCCCCCAAAAATTTTCACTGCCCCAACACTTTACCACTATTTTGTTTTGTTTTTCTTCTCTGAGCCCAAGCCTGCACATATACATCCAGATGGCCTGAGGCAGCTGAAGAACTACAAAACATTACATTCCATCATTGTGATTTATTCCTGCCCCACCCCAACTAATCAACCAACCTTGTGACATTCCTCCCCTGGACAATGAGTCTCATGATCTCCCCACCCTGCACCTTGTGACCCTCACCCCTGCCCACAAGAGATAACCACCTTTAACTGTAATTTTCCAGTACGTACCCAAAGCCTATCAAACTGCCCCACCCCTTTCTCCCTTTGCTGACTCTCTTTTCGGACTCAGCCCACTTGCACCCAAGTGAAATGAACAGCCTTGTTGCTCACACAAAGCCTGTTGGTGGACTCTCTTCACATGGACTCGCGTGACATCTGGCAGGGCTCCATGAGGTGCCTCTATGCTGGGACCCTAGAAATGAGCCATAACATGGGAAATCTATCACAATGTGTTTTTTAAAAATACAAATGAAAACTCTCCAGCATACACAATATAGATATACTGAATACCATAGTAACCCCACATTTGAATTTCTTTCTTTTCTTTTCTTTTTTTTTTTTTTTTGGAGATGGAGCCTCGCTCTTGTTACCCAGGCTGGAGTGCAGTGGCGCAATCTCGACTCACTGCAACCCCTGCCTCCTGGGTTCAAGCAATTCTTTGCCTCAGCCTCCTGAGTAGCTGGGATTACAGGCACCCACCACCATGCCCAGTTAATTTTTGTACTTTTAGTAGAGATAGGGTTTCACCATCTTGGCCAGGCTGGTCTTGAACTCCTGACCTTGTGATCCACCTGTGTTGGGTTCCCAAAGTGCTGGGTTTACAGGGATGGGCCACCGTGCCCGGCCCAAATTTCAATAAAAAATTTCAATCAGAGGCCAGGTGGGGTGGCTCCCATATGTAATCCCAGCACTTTAGAAGGCCAAGCTGGATAGATGGCATGAGCTCAAGAGTTCAAGACCAGCCAGGCCAACATGGTGAAACCCTGTCTCTACGAATACAAAAATAAGCTGGGTGTAGTGGCACATGCCTTTAATCCCATCTACTTAGGAGGCTGAGGCATAAGAATCATTTGAACCAGGGAGGTGGAGATTGTAGTGAGCTGAGATCGCACCACTGCACTCCAGCCTGGGCAACAGGGGTGAAACCCTGTCTCAAAAAAAAAAAAAAAGAAAGAAAACAGGAAATTGCAGGACATTTTTGGGTCCTCACCCTCCCACACTCACATGTCTACACAGCTTTACATCTGACCCTGTGAGTCTTGAGCCCAGGCACAGGCCTGGGGCTATTCCACGACCCGGTCCCCTTCTAGATGTGCATCAGTGTGAGGGCCCAGTCCAGCAGGAAAAGTGTTGCGACCATCCTGTGATCCTGTGATGGGGGAGCCACGTGGTGTCCAGACCCACCAGGAGTTGAGGATTCAGGAAAATCTCCATGGTTGGCTCCCGAGTTGCCCATGGTGCCAGCTCTGGTGTCTCCCAGGTAGAAGCTGAGGCATCATCATCAGCTCAGCCCCGGGGGTGGATGTGGAAGTTTGCACTGGTGTCACACACAAGGTTCTCCTTCCACCCCAAACCCTGCGCAGAGATTCCAGGATTGTCTAATGGCCTTTAACAAACCCCTTTGTTCCTTGCCAGGGGGACATGTGTGGTTCCCAGGCTTTGTACCATGCACAAGTGCTGCCAGGGTCCCTTTGGCCTCTCCCACACCTGACCACACTCTCTGCACCACAGGGGATGATCACCCTGTAGAGCAAAGAGCCAAGGCACCCAGCTCCCCACCTCCAAGCTCCCCACCCCCGACCCAGCATGGGGCTGGCTGAGAGTCCAGCTCTGCAACCAGAGAGGCTTGGGTCTGATAATCGCTGGGTGCAACAGGAGGAGAGACTTGGCCTCTGTGAGCCTCAGGTGCCTTCCAGGTAAAATGGAGCTCACCAGGCCCTGTGGCTCTATTGTCTTCTGGATGAACAAGAGGTGACATATTTAACCACCTGGTATTAATAATAAACAGTCATCGAGGGCCATCTGGGGCCCAGCCCTGCTTGACGTGCTGCTGAGGATGCAGCAGAGACATAATAGCGGGCCATGTGCCATCACTGGGAACACAGAATGTCCTCAGGCCTTGATGACTCAGAGAGTCAGGGCTGGGTTGGGGAAGTGGAAAGGCTTGGGAGGCCACAGTGGTTGCCCGACCCAGCCTGAGAGGCCAGCGATGTCTTCTTGGAGAAGACGTCTGAGCTACTGTTTCAAGAATGAATGGGAACGGTGCCTGTTTCGGTGAGGCGGAACCCAGAGAGGCCAGAATGCAAGGCAGGAAGAGGAGACCAGAGCGGGCAGCAAGGCTGGGGCATTTATGGGCCCCTGGAGAACTCCAGAGTCTATCCTGAGGGCACTGAGCATGGCCCAGGCCTAAGCAGGGGATGGAAGTGATCAGATTTATGGTTGTAGAACATCCCTGCATCTCTCTTGTGAGGAGGGTGGAGAGGAGGGTTGAGCCTGCAGCTGGGTAATGGTGCAGTCATGAGGGGCCTGCAGTCCCCTCCTCCCTTGTGGAGAGGAGACAGAGTGTTCTCTTTCTCCATTGCTCCCTGCTCTCCTGGCTTGCCCATTTGCAGCTCAGGAAAGATTACTGTCCTCCATACTAAGAGTGGCAACGTATTATTGGGTGGTATAACTCCTTGAGTACGTCATAGACAATTTTTTTTTTTAATTCAAAAAACAGACACAAAAATGGGTTAGTGTGCACTGCACAGATTTTTATGAACTGCCTTGTAGTGAAATCTTCCTTCATGACTGTGGTGAGTCACATATTGAGGCAGAATTTATATTTTTCCAGGGAAGCAAAGCCAACAAGAACGAAGAAGTGGCCAGGGCATGGTGGCTCATGCCTGTAATCCCAGCACTTAGGCCGAGGAGGAAGAATTGCTCGAGGCCAAGAGTTCAAGACCAACCTGGGCAACATGGCAAAATCCAGTCTTTACAAAAATTTTTTTTAAAAAGCTGGGCATGGTGGCACATACCTGTGGTCCCAACCACTTGGGAGGTTGTAGCAGGAGGATTGCCTGAGCTCAAGAGTTCCAGGCTGAAATTAGCCATGATCAGACCACTGCACTCCAGTTTGGGCAACAGAGTGAGACCCTGAAAAAAAGAAAAGAAAAGAAAAGAAATGGGCTGGGTGTGGTGGCTCACACCTGTAATCCCAGCACTTTGACAGGCCAATGCACATGGGTCACCTAAGCTCAGGAGTTCAAGACCAGGCTGGGTAACATGACAAAACTCCATATCTACAAAAAATACAAAATTAGAATTAGCTGAGCATACTGCCATGGGCCTGTAGACCCAGCTACTCAGGGGCTGAAGCAGGAGAATCTCCTGAGCCCGAGAAGTGGAGGTTTCAGTGAGCTGAGATCATACCACTGCACTGCAGCCTGGGTGACAGAGCGAGATCTTGTCTCAAAAAATAAAAAATAAAAATTAAAAAAATTTAGGGCAGGCACGGTGGCTCATGCCTATAATCCTAGCATTTTGAGAGGCCAAGGTGGGCAGATCACGAGTTCAGGAGATCGAGATCATCCTGGCCACCATGGTGAAACCCTGTCTCTACTAAAAATACAAAAATTAGCTGGGCATGGTGGCATGTGCCTGTAGTCCCAGCTACTCAGGAGGCTGAGGCAGGAGAATCGCTTGAACCTGGGAGTCGGAGGTTGCAGTGAGCCGGGATTACGCCACTACACTCCAGTCTGGCAACAGAGCAAGACTCCGTCTCAATTAAAAAAAAAATTTTTTTAAGGAATGAAGAAGGGTGCAGGCATGGCCTGGCTTCCTTCTTGCCTAAGTGCTACTGACTTAGATGCCCCAACACATCTTCCAATAATGAGGTTCATCTCTCAAACCATGGTTCCGGGCATTTCCTGGGACAGCTCAAGGCAGGTGGAGGCCTAGACACTGGTGGGAGAAAGCAGGTTTCTTGGGTCAGGATTAGGGTTGGGTCCCGAGGAGGGAGGAGTCTGGCCAACCCTCCTTGGCCTGAGCCTGGTCTCTCAGGGTGGCTGAGTCAGGCCCGGGGTGAGACAGTGGAGGGAGATCATGACAGCACAGGGGGCTCTCAGAGGCTGGGAAACGGGGAGGGCGGTCAGGGCCAGTCCAGTGCTCCTGTCCCTGCTCCTTCTCCAGCTGTCAAAAAAGCCTTTGCATACAGCGCTGTCCAATCCCTCCACCAGCCCCATGGAGTCCCCCACCCTATCCCATGCATTGTCTGGGGACAGGTCTGTCTTTGGCACTGGAGCCCAGCTCTGTCTTGGTGGAACTGATCCTCAGGGTTTGGAACTTGAACTCTACCCATCGTGAAAGGAGGTTCTGTTTTTCTGGCAAGTAAGTGCAAGATCCTGACCTCAGACAGACATTTAATTCTCCCATCCCACTTTCTAATCCATCCAAGCAGGACATGGTCCGAGGACCAACTGCTGGTCACAGACACAGGCTGGACCAGAGCCTGGGTTTCCTGAACTCCAGTCCACGTGCCTCCAACTGCTGCCCCACCCCGCCTCCGCTGGCCCAGCCCCTCTGGGAAGGGGAGGCAGGCCTTGGTCACAGATATCCCTCGATGAGACCCAAAATCTGACATTCCCGGGGTTCCTCGGTGGGGCTGGCAGAGCTGGGCTCCTGGAATGTGAAACCCCGGGGGCCTTGACATTTCCCGCTCTCAAAGGCTCTCTCTTCACTTGCCCTTTTGTCCCAGAATAAATACAACGACTCTTCTACCTGGCATCTTTGTGGTGTTAGTTCCATCTGGCCTCAAGGAGTCCCTCCCAGGGGATAGGCAGGAATGGGGTGGCATCGCACATGTGTAGAGGAGGGACGGAAGCTCTCCAGCCTGGACATCTCTCTTTGCTGGCTGAGGAAGCTGTGTCACTCACTTTCCCCAAGCACAGTTATCAGAATTGAAGGGGCTGATCTCTCTCTCCCTGCAAAGGGGCTTTGGTGACCAAAGACTGGATGATGTCAACCTAGTGATCAAAATGGTCAGAATCTAATTTAAAGAGAGTTTAGGCCAGCACAAATGTTGAGGACAGCCCGTCTAGAAACAGCCATGGTTTCATTTCTATATATGCAACTGCCTTGTAGTGAAACTACATGACTGTGGTAAGCTACATACTGGGTAGAATTTTTTTTTTTTTCCAGTGACACAAAGTCAACAAGAATGAAGAGGTGGTGGGGTATGGTGGCTCATGCCTGTAATCCCAGCACTTAGGGAGGCCAAGGAGGAATAATTGCTTGAGGTCAGGAGTTCCAGATCAGCCTGGACAACGTGGTAAAATCCAGTCTTTACAACAAAAAAAATTTAACTGCTTGGCATGGTGGCATGCACCTGTGTTCCCAACTACTTGGGAGGCTGTGGTAGGAGGATCGCTTGAGCTCAAGAGTTCCAGGCTGCAATTAGCCATGATCAGACTGACCACTGCAATCCAGCCTGGGCAACAGAGTGAGACCCTGAAAAAAAAGGAAGGAAGGAGGGAAAGAGAGAAAAAAGAAAGAAGGAAGGAAGGAAGGAGAAGAGAAGGAGAAGGGAAGGAGAAGGGAAGGAAAGGGAAGGAGAAGGGAAGACGGAAAGAAAGGAGGGAGAAGGAGAAAGGAAAAGCAGGGGAAGGAAAGGAGGAAGGAAGAAAGGAAGGGCAAAAGGAAAAGGAGAAGGAGGAAGGGGAAAAAGGAAAGGAGAAGGGAAAGAGGAAGGGGAAGGAAGAAAGAAACGAAAGAGGAAGGAAAAAAGAAAAGAAGGAAGAAAGGAAGGGAAAAGAGGAAGAAAAGGAAGAAAAAAGGGGAAGAACAAAGAAAAAGAAGCAGAGAGGAAAGGAAGGGGAAGCGAAGAAGAGAAAGAGAGGAAAAAGAAGAGAGGAAGAAGGAAGAGCGTGAAAAGAAGGGGAGAAGGAAGAAGAAGAGGAAGGAGAAGGGAAGGGAAGGGAAGGGAAGCGAAGGGAAAGGAAGGGAAGAAGGGAAGGGAAGGGAAGCGAAGGGAAGGGAAGGAGAAGGGAAGGAGAAGGGAAGGAAAGGGAAAGGAAGGGAAGGGAAGGGAAGGAAAGGGAAGGGAAGGAGAAGGGAAGGGAAGGGAAGGGAAGGGAGGGGAGGGGGAAGGGGAAGGGGAAGGGGAAGGGGAAGGGAAGAAGGGAAGGTGTCGGGTGTAGTGGCTCACACTTGTAATCCCAGTACTTTGGGAGGCCAATGCAGGCAGGTCACTTAAGCTCAGGAGTTCAAGACCAGCCTGCGTAACACGGCAAAACTCCATCTGTGATGCGGGGAGGGCAGCCAGGGCCAGTCCAGGGCTCCTGTCCCGGCCGGGCACAGTGACTCACACCTTTAATCCCAGGACTTTGGGAAGACGAGGAGAGAGGATTTTTTGAGCCCAAGAGATTAAGAACCAGCCTGAACAACATGGTGAAACCCTGTCTGTATAAAAAATACAAAAATTAGCTGGGCACAGTGGTGCTCACCTGTGGTCCCAGCTACTCTGGAGGCTGAGATGTGAGGATCGCTTGAGTCTGGGAGGTTGAGGCTGCAGCGAGCTGTGATTGAGCCACTGCCCTCCAGTCTGAGCTGACACTGAAGAGAGAGACTCTGAGCAGGCCGGAGATGGGGGACAGACTGAACAGTGCAGAAAGGAGGCCAGGAGAGCCAGGAAGAGAGGCCAGCAATGTTGAGAGAGTGAGGTTGTGAGAGGAAAATAAAAA